CCAGTGTATAGTGATGATTATCCCTTTTTATATATAAGAAATCGTACAAAAATGTCATGTTTCTTTAAAACAACTATCACATCGTACAAAAATGTCATGTTTCTTTAAAACAACTATCACATGGGGGTAAGTACAAAAAATGATGGTATTGTAGGCGAAATAGTACCATATTTATCGTTTTGCTTCTTCCTAACAATTGGCCAAAAGCATAGAAAAAGTTGTGCAGTGATTTGCCTCGGCCAGAAGTTTTGACAATTCATTGGGCTAGGTGGACTAGGGTCTATGTAGATTCCTAAATTAAAAACCAAAATTTTCACCTTGAATCATCAAAATGGTTCTCTTTGGATTAGTTAAGCCCGTTTAGGTAGAAGAACTCAATATATTGGTCGGTTCACTTTAACGGCCTAAGATCAGTTTTCACTTCCCCAACTACCTTGAGATCACAAATTTGATGAGAGTATGATCGGATATTAATAGGGAATTTCATAGAAATGTAATAAAGTGGAACACTCTCTAGTCTCTACATCTTTGTTTATGCATATGCAAGGAAGGAAGAAAAATGATTTTTGTTTTGTGTTTGTGAGTATACATTGTTTGACATATTATTTTCTCGGATCAAAATAAGTAATTTGGTTAACGAATACTCCCTTCGCTACCTAAAATTTGATATTTGTTCCATCATCTTTTTCGTGACTTTAACTCATGTACGTGGGTCACTTTTCCCAAGTGTTTTGTTTAGTTTGTTTCGCATCTCAATCAAATATGTAGTTGATGCATTAGTGTTGTAACGCCCGCGAATCAACTTTGAGAATTTTGGGTGTGCGTCGATCGACACAAGTTTCGAATCGAACAGACTGGTTCGGTTTTTGAGCTTCAGATTGCGGTTCGGGTTAAAGAAAACCCTAGGGTTCGCTTAATAAGCGAGGAGCCGTGTTTTGTGTCGGGTTTTCAGAAAGAAACCAGAGAGTTCTAGTGGATTGAGAGAGGAACATGAATCATTGTTGATTTTCTTGTGTTCTTGATCCTTAAGACTTGTGATTGTGATTGTGAGGCTATATAATCGGGTTTTTGGTGCGTGTTCTTCTTGGAAGAAGAAGGAAATCCGGTTTTTAGGGAGTTGTACCCTCTGATTTTCGTGTGTTCTTCGTGTTCTTGCCTTAATCCTTTCCGAAATCAAGGTGAGTGTATGACCATGCTTATCTAGGTAATTGGAGTGTTCATGATGCGT